AGATACATACAACCAACATACATACATACAAATTTACTTCAATTGCCAGGTGGGAATCAAAGCTGTAATATGCATCCATATTAAAAACACATTTTTAAGGACAGCGTTCAACCTTGAAGCCAGCAAGGCACAAATTAATTAAAAGCCGTATTTGCAGCATTTAATTGCGAAAAGCTGCACATACATACTCCAAGCACCGTGACCACTTCAAATCACTAAGTGGTCATTGTACTTGTAACCCTTTAAAGAGTGAAGGACTGAAGAGAGCATTATAAGAGATCTGCATCAATGCTCCTAGCCACCATCCCTGCCAAAAGGTAAGCGCTATATACAGACTGAGGGAACAGAGCCAATTGTATTAGGAGACAGGATAAAAAGATTGTCTGAGAGAGACCCTTAAAAAGCAAAAGATGAGGGTGCGGAGAACTAGAATTTGCTTAGGTGGTAAATACCAATCCACTAACCCTGGGAATGTAAGTGTTCTACAAAAGAGTTGTGCATTTTGTTGCATAGTATGGTTTTATCAGGTACAGTAAGAGCCCGTTAAGAATATCAGATTTCATCATCTGGGCAAACTGACCTGCTTTAGGGATAAAGTGATGTGTTAAAACCATATAGTATTTACATAAGATAATCTTTGACCTGACCCAGAATCCTACTGATTTCATTTCAAGGCAGTCTGACATTTTTATTGAATGTTTGACACTTCCCTGCAGTGCCATATACTGAGTGCAGAAAATGAAAAAGAACTCTGTATATTCTTCTAGGACAATATACAAAATGTTGTTTTGAAATATAGAAAATTCCAGTCTGTTTACTTTTCTGCTCTGATCGGTTTTTGTGTTTTTATTTATTTATTTTTTTCTTGTTATTTTTTTAAATATGATAACTTGTGACTTTAGTGGTAGCGAGGAGTAGTACCTGGCATACTGGGCCGGGTTTCCCACAAGGCCATCAATGCAATGGCCTCAGGGCGGTAAGCAGGAGAGGGGCAGCGCGGCCAAACTAGAGATCAAAACGCTACATCACTGGCCAGCCAATTTCCGTGCTGTAAGGGGGGCCTATGATGCTTTTTTTCCTGCACCCACTGAGAAATCAGGTTTCCACAACATTGTGTTTCAGACTTCACTCTGACTGTCTGCAGGTACATTTTGCAATGGACACTGTTTTGTGCCATTTGCATGACAAGCTGGGAACTCTGGTACCAAGGGATAGGGGGCGAGGGGTCTGTTGTATTAAGACAATAACATTATCGGTATTTGCTTTCTGATCTTGTGATACCACCGATATTGGATTCCCCGTCACGAAGCAGAGGTGGTAGTGGCCGCAGTGCCCTGCGCCACTCAATGGTCCCCCTGGTTAAATCAGGAAACCGTGTCAGCGTGGATCCTTCAAATTGTAAGGGAGTTTTCCCTCTGGCATCAGGTCAGAATGAGCCTTACCGCATTGGCCTCTGTGGGAGGCAACAGTAAGCTGATCAGGCGTCTAATGAAATGAGGTAGGTCTGTCAGGCCTACAGAGTCCGGTATGCTGCGGATTTTGAGTTTATAACGCCTCCATTGATCCTCTAAGATGTCTATCCTGTCGAGGTCTATTTTTAATTTCGTTATATATACACTCAAATCAATTTGAAAATAGTTTGAATCATTAAAATTAATTTTATTAGCTTTAAAAGAAAAGAGGGGGAGAGATCTCAATGGGTACACGGTATGAAAACGTCCTAACTTCCGATGTGTCCCTCTGGACGTCAAAAGGTTGCGGGAGGCACCCTAAGAGGTACCCAGATGTAGATTGCAGTGCCGTAGCAAAAAATAGAGATCCCTATATTAAATCTTTCTCAAGAGACTCGGCACGTCTGAATCCAACAGTTTAAGAAGGGAGGCAAGTCCCGCTTTCTAGTGACGTCACTTGCTCAACCGAGCGCCGATTCTGCCCATCCAGTATTGTGACGTCAGAATTTGCAGTGCATATAATGATCATAGCTCCTCCCATGCCCATATTGAAACATAGAATGTGATGGCAAAACCATTCGGCCCATCTAGTCTGCCCAATGTTCAAAATACTTTCATTAGTCCCTGGCCTTTTCTTATAGCTATGATAGCCTTATGCCTAGCTATCATGCTTCAACTCCTTTACTATGTTAACCTCTACCACTTCAGCTGGAAGGCTATTCCATGCATCCACTACCCTCTCAATGAAGTAATACTTCCCGATATTATTTTTAAACCTTTGCCCCTCTAATTTAAGACTATGGCCTCTTGTTATGGTAGTTTTTCTTCTTTTAAATATAGTCTCCTCCTTTACTGTGTTGATTCCTGTGTCGAACTGAGCCTCGTCACGTTTGCTTGGAGGGGCTTGCTGGCCAGCCTCTTACCAAAAGACTATGGGCCCTTTAAAAACTGTGAACAGACTTGGTTTGTGGGATTTTATATTTGTTTCGGGAACAAAACAGCCACACGAATCAGAGACCACCCTGGAGCTTGTTAAGCCTACTTGCTACTTTGTAGCAATTTCCACCGAAGTGTTCGTCTGGGTGGCTGCAATTCCTATGGATGACCACGAGGTGGCGGCCATCTTGTTCACATGAAAGCAGGCAGCGGTGTTTGGGCATGAATCTCATGGAACTGAAAATGGCCACAGAAACTCCCGAACACTGCTGAAGTTCCAGCATTGCCTGCGTTCGGTTCTACAACACTTAGAAAGGTGCTGTTCGCTGGAAACGTTCCCACGAACAAGGGGATCAAGCTCCAGGGTAAAACTATTAACTCTGTTCGGTAGTTTGTTCGTTTTTAAACTACTGAACCTCTAGAATGGTTTTGGGCATGGGACCATGCGGGCGGTCGTTCAAATTATTACTTCCAGGAAATTCCTGAACCCCTGAACTGATCTCTGTGATTTGGGGATATTTTAGTCACTTAGATCAGGGCTATCAGGGGGTGTAACTTTTGTGGGGATTTTGTTATTTTTAAGGTATTTTGGGGGGTTTGCAAAAATGTGTGTTTTTGTGCCTGGAGATAAGAGCTTAATACAGTGCTTAACTCAATTATCTCCCAGGCATAGTGGAGGGATTGACCTATTTTGTATGGGAGTGTCCTGGACCTGAGGGCCAATGTAATTGTGTATTTGTTATTACTGTAGGTCCGGGGGGGAGGTGGGGCGGAGTGCCCCCTGCATGGGGACATGCATGTAAGGCCAGTTGTGGCTGCCATTAAAGAGCTTTAGTTTTACCATTCATGAAGTCTAGACTCATGTTTGGGGGATTGGAGATCTATATTCACTCTGCGGATTACTATAATCACTATACTCCCTTGGATCACAACGATTGCTCTTGTAAGAGCAACCTGCTTCGCTCTCTGGACTAGGATCGGTCTACCCACTGGAAGCTGGATCCCGGTCTTGGGTCCAGGGTGGGTGGAGGACAGCGAGACCACAACCAAGTTGCGGTGGTTTGTGGCATTTACGGTGGTTATGGTACTCAAGATTTACTAGGAAGCAGCGATGGACTGCCGGGCACCCCAACTGGGTACCTCCGTCAGTCACAATTCCCTTTATGTATTTATTATTATTATTATTATTATTATTGCCATTTATATAGCGCCAACAGATTCCGTAGCGCTTTACAATATTATGAGAGGGGATTTAACTATAAATAGGACAATTACAAATAAACTTACAGGAACAATAGGTTGAAGAGGACCCTGCTCAATCGAGCTTACATTCTATAGGAGGTGGGGTGTAAAACACATTAGGACAGGAATTTGCAATCAAATAAGGTGGGCTGCCCTTTAGGAGAGGGCAAGAGATGGGTATGTGAGGTAGGGGTTAGTCTTGGAGGCCATAAGCTTTCCTAAAGAGATGGGTTTTAAGGCACTTCTTAAAAGATGCAAGACTAGGGGAGAGTCTGATGGCGGTAGGCAGGCTATTCCATAGGAAGGGAGCCGCCCGCGAGAAGTTAAATGTTTCTGTCATATCCCCCCTGTCTCGTCTTTCCTCCAAGCTATACATGCTAAATTCCTTTAACTTTTCCTTGTGAGTTTTATCCTGCAATCCATGAACCAGTTTAGTACCCCTTCTCTGGAATCTCTCTAAAGTACCAATATCCTTCTGGGGATACGGTCTCCAGTACTGCGTACAATACTCCAAGTGAGGTATCATCAGCAAAAAAACTTTACCATCAAGACCTTCTCCTGCAATATCACTAATAAAAATAGAATGAGTCCAAGTACACCCACTGGTGACAAGACCATGCTTCGAATCTACTCCATTGACTACAACCCTCTGTTGCCTGTCACTCAGCTACTGCCTTACCCATTCAACAATATTGGAATCCAAACTTAAAGATTGCAGTTTACTGATGAGCCTTCTATGTGCAACAGTGTAAAAAACCTTACTGAAATCTAGGTAAGCAAGGTCTACTGCACCACCCTAAACTAATATTTTAGTTACCCAATCAAAAAAATCTATAAGATTAGTTTGGCATGATCTCCCTGAAGTAAACTCATGTTGTCTCTGATCTTGAAATCCATGTGTTTTTAGATGTTCAACTATCCTTTAACATGATTTCCATTACTGAAGTAAGGCTTACTGGCCTATAGATGCCCAACTCCTCCCTACTACCTCTCTTGTGATTGGGCAAAACATTTGCTAACTTCCAATCTACTGGGACTACTCCTGTTAACAATAATTGGTTAAATAAATCTGTTAATGGTTTTGCTAGTACACCACTAAGCTCTTTTAATAGCTTTGGGTGTATTCCATCAGGCCCCATTGACTTATTTGTATTTACTTTTGACAGTTGAAATAGAACCTCTTCCTCATGTAACAAATGACTCATTTGTCCTTTTTCCTAACTGAGGTCCCTTTCGTCATTTTTATCTGTAAATACTGAACAAAACTATTCACTGAGGTAGTCCTCTAAACCTTTATCCTCTTCTACATATCTTCCTTCTTTTGTTTTTAATCTAATCCTTGTTTTACTTTTCTTTCTTGTGTATCTAAAAAAAAGTTTTGTCCCCATGTTTTACAAACTGTTTTTTTCTTTTCTGTGTGTGATTTGGAAGCTTGTATAAATTGATTAGCCTCTTTCTGCCTAATCTTATAGATCTGTCTATTTTCCTCACTCTGGTTTTTTTTTTTCTAAATACTAAATGCTAACTTTTAGTTTTTTAGTATTTTGTCAACATCCGCGGAGTATCACAAGGGTTTCTTAAAATGTTTTACTTTTCCGGACGAGCCTAGTGCAGTTGCCTTCAGCAGTGCAACTTCTAAATAATCCCATTTCTATTGGACACCCTTTAAATTGCTCCAGTTTGATAATGACAGTTTGATGCAGGATAATCTTCGAGTCTCCTGCATGCCTCTCTTTTGTGACGTAAGGTCTTTCCTACATTCACAGGTGGTAAGGTAGACCCGACCAGCGGTGTTACAGTTAAAGAAAGATTCTACCCTATATCTCTGCTGGTCCTTGCTATCCCAAATGAATTTGGAGTTTCCTTTGATGTATTTGCAGACTACACATCTCCTGCACCAGTGTCCCCACTCTGTTAATGGACTGTGCCATGGTGGAGTCTAGGAGGGATTTAAATTCCTCCGATGCCATGAGGCTGGCGTCACCTGTACGTCCCTTGTTAGAGGGGGAAACACCTGGTGCTTAAACCATGTACCAGAACTTGTAATTTTTTCAGGTCTGAAAGGGTTCGGGACCAATATGTAGCGTAAATTCTTCCCCCTTCTAGCTGTGAAGTATGCGTATGGACTTAAAAACTTCTTGAGATGTTTGTCATTGGTCAGAATCTGCCAGAAACGTTCACTTGTCTTTCTCATAGTATCCCATCCAGCATCATAGGGGGTAATCATCCTAATCTGATTAGCAGATTCCTTTATTGATTGGTCTCTTAACAGGTAATTTCAGTCGACCTCCAAAGCTCTCTGCTTTCTTTAGGCATTTGTTGGGATAGAAAAAATTTAGGGTCCGACACAGGGACTGTGGTGTGTACAAGTGAACCTGAACAGGAGGTAACCCTAAGTTTAAATAGTAAAGAGAAAATATATATGTCCAAGGGACAGAGTCACAATGGGCACAAAAAGGTTCCTCGTATAATATAATGTGATATAATAGAACATACAATAAGATAACTTTTATTTACTCTCTGGAAAAGGAATATTTGTTGGGATAACCCTTCTCACAAAATTGTTTCTGCAGGATTTTGGCTTTGTTTTTAAAATCCTCTTTATCACTGCAGTTTCTTCGTACTCTGAGATATTGGCCTGTTGGAATGCCATATCTCAGCGGTTTTGGGTGGACACTATGTGCCAATGTAAGAGGTTATTGGAGTTCGATGGTTTCCTGAATAGAGTTGTCTGGACAGAGCTGCTCTCTGTAATGGAGATTGTGATGTCCAGGAAGTTAATGGCAGAACCTCCAAATTCTGAAGTAAATCTCAAATTTTCCTCATTGTAGTTGAGCATGACTACGAACCTATCGAACTCGTCGGGGGTACAATTTGAGGGACCTGCCTGACAACCCAGGCAGAAAGTCCTGATCTTTTAATTTGCAAGCCCTATATTTTACACTGTAACTTTCCAAAACACCATAAAACCTGTACATTGGGGTACTGTTGTACGCTAGAAACTTCGCTGAACACAAATATGGGTGTTTCAAAACGGTAAAATGTATCCTGACTATGATATCAGTGAAAGTGCAATTTGATTAGGAAAAAGCAAAACAACAAATATGAATGCTAACTTTGGCCAGGATTTGTGACAGACTCCCCATTTTGATTACCCTGGGTTGCCTACTTTGCAGATGGTTTGCCATAATTTATTTATAAAATATTTTACCAGGATGGATACATTGAGATTTCTCTCGTTTTTCCTGGGTACACAAAACATTGCATTGTTACAATAGGATACAATATTACAAACAATACAATATAAAATAAATATATACATACACACATAACCGGTAATAAATATATTCAACCATGACAGGTGCATTTTGTATTGAGGTATGTTTCCATAGATCACTTAAGAGATTTTAGATTTAATGAAGATTTGACTGTGTCCCTGATGTTATTCCATAATTACGGTGCTCTGTAGGAAAATGAGGGCTTCCATACGGTCTCAAAGGCACCATAGATCTAGCATAATTTCATGTGTAAAAACTAAAATGGGCAAGCCCTACATTGGACCCTGTAACTCTCCAAAACCAACCCCATAAAACCTGTATTGGGGGGGGGGGAGGTGGTGTTTGTGAGACAACCTTGCACAGAAATATGTGTATTTTATTGCAGTGAAAGCAAATTGTATTTTGACATTCACAGTTAAAATGCCAGGCAGAACCAAGAAAATAACATTTTCTTACTTTCTCACACTATTATTTATCTGATGAGAAATTAAACCCCAATTTCTCCTGAACCAAATTATATAGAATAAGTGTGCGTGTACTTCATATGAAAGAGGTAAATTATGGTTGAACAGACATCCAGGTTTTTTTTTTTATCGGAACTTGTACAATTGTCTCTGTCCTTTTAAGGGTTTAAAATGAGTCACATTTGCTTGCAAAACTTCACAGAAATAATACGCTGGTGACAGTGCTATTTCAAACATCATAATATACAAGGTGCAGGAAAAGAAACTTAGCCACGTAAGAAACAATTTCCAGTTTCAATCCTATCATGCTTGTTCCTTTGCTGTTTTCTTAGGAGGAGAGCCAATCGTTGTACCAGTGATTTTATAAAGAGGCAAAAATATATTCTTATCCCTCAAAACCCTGAGCAACACTTAGAGATTTTTTTTTTTTACTTAACCCCTTAACACAGTTACGGTGTTCTATGCCGTCCCACATTAAAAGGGCTTTAAAGCCGTTGCGGCTTTCAGCCACTGGAGCTCCAATTTACTCACCACCGCCGCGATCCTCTTCTGGAGGGCAAATGAGGCCCCCAGGGGCCATGTGATCACTCTCAACTCATTTAGGGAACCCATAGTCCGGTAAACTCCTGGAAGTGCCCCTAGAGGCTGTTTTAGTCTTGCAATGTAAGGGGGACACTGCACCCAGACCACTCAATGAGCCGAAGTGGTCTGTGTGCCTATAGTGTGCATTTTAGCATTTTGGGCCCTTGAGTGGTTTTTAGCCAGTCTACTCATACACAAAAAGGTGAAATTGGAAGAAAGATTCATGAAAAAAAGTTTTCCAGGAAGATTTAAAGTGTGAATTGTCAGGATTTAAAGTGGGACTGTAGATTGTAAGCCAAAATGGCCAAACTGAAAAGTTCTCCTAGTTAGGTATGCTTTCAATTGGAATATTTTCATCTGAAATTGAAAAGTTTTGTCTTTAATTCACATTTTAGTGAATAATCTGGTGAGTCAGGATGGTGCTTTGGAGTGTAAGGGACAGTACGAAAGCTGGTCTGGCTAGTGCAACGTGTAAAGGCCAGCATTGAGATAGTTTAAATCAAAATACAAAGACACATACAATCAATTATTTTGTTCCCATATTGTCTACTTTGCATCAATCAGGATATATCTCAGGGTGGAGGGAGGTAACAGGTTTATATATATATATATATATCTGCTTTTTGGAGTTGAACCCGTGTTTCCAAGTCCAGCGTTTTATCTGGCCTGCCACGCCCCCTCCCAGGTGGATTGACGTCAGCGAGCATGCTATGAATTCGTGACGGGGGACCGTGTTGCTTGCTTTGGGTGCGGATCTTCTTCTGACTGTGACCGGTGTGCTAGAACGAAGTGAAGGTTTTGACAGGACGAGGGGGCGTGGTTTATAACGCAGTGACCTGTAAAACGGTGTACGTTCCAAGACATCCTTCCTCTGGCTACACTACATTCTATGCCAGCCAGCGAGCAGCTGTAGTCCTCGGAACCCTCCAACACAGAGTATTTCACTGGCAACATACTATCTGTCTGTGGTGAGTAGTGCAATCCCAAATCTGCATTTTAAAGGATTTTCAGCAAATCACAATAGCAGGATTATGCTGGACTGTGGTAACCTGTAAAGCTAGACAAGACACACTAGAAATATGAAGTGAAATGTCAGAGCTTTAGCTTCCTGCTAAATCATTTTGCAGATAGTAATTTTTTTTTTCTTTACTTGCTTTTTACTTTCTTTACATTGTATTTTCTAGAATAGTACAAACACCAGGATCATTTACAAGTCGTGTTAAAAGTAACATTTTACATGGTGCATACAAATTATATAAGGGACCACAAATTTACAGAACTTGACTGATTGCTTGGTAAAGGTGGAATAATTTTGTTCATTTTAGATTGTTGTGAACATCTGCCTAGTCCTGAATCTTATTGGTTTGCTGTAGGTTTAATTTATAATTTTTCTTTAATTCTTCTTAAACTACTTTTTTAGAACAAAAAAAACTAAAATCACTATTTCAGGGGGAAAATGAACACCTCCCACAATAGATGAGTAACTGTATGTGTACATTGTATTAAAGACTATAGGCATTTGTTTTGTCTTTCTGTCCAAAAATAAAATAAAATGCTAACTTTTTGCCCTGATTAATGTGTAGAGCAGGTACCCTTTGGGGTTTATGGTATTTTATATAGTTCTGTATGAATTAGCCTTTTGCCTGTTTCCACAATAAAGCATGCTTGTGAAACATTAACTGCAATTAAAGTAGCATCAACAGAGGTCACTAAACTGTTAAATAGTTTGCTGATCATTATATATCACAATGAATGTTAAAGGGACAATCTAGACCCCTAAAGCACTTTAGCATGCTGAAAAGCTTATATGAAGTGTGTCCTATTATTCTTTTTTGCAAAAAGTGCAGATTTAAATCGAAAATGACACTTTTATTAATTAATCTGGTAACTACACCACCTGGCTTTTCAAGCAGAGAACAGGTCTTGTTACTTCCTGGTTTGGCTAGCTCAGTGGAGCTAAACTCAAGAGGCAGCAATTGCATAGAGCACCTGCCTTGCAAAGACTTCTCATTAAACTGCATGAGGAAGTCTGTGATTGGACAGCAACTGAAAGTGTGGGCGGGGTTAGAAGGGGAGGGCTTGCAAAGGCTGCAGGTTTTGCAAGCTGATTTAGCTATCCACAATAACAAATGCACAATTTAAAGGCATTTTCATTTGGGGTATATGTACAAAACATTGATATATTTGTATTTTTTGGTATTTGGACAGTGGATTATCACTTTAATTGATGTACAGCAGTGGCTTTATTAAATTTGCCATGTAAACCATCGTTCACCACTAAAATTGAAGCTTTGTTTTTTTTATCTTGGTAGTTTGTATATCTGCAAGTTTGCAAGTAACTCCAGCCTCCCTGTTAATTAACTTTAAAGGTTTATTATCTTGGTGTAATATCTGCACCTAAAATGTCCTCCCCTCACCAGCCACGTATTATTTGTACTGCTTTGTATGCCAGCATTTACTGGATGCTAACCTGAGTCCATACTGCCCTCTGGCCAGCAGATTGTGCAAATATTAACCTCATAGAGGACGTTCTGTTGATGTCTTCCAGTGTCGCTTACCTTTTGGTTGGTTGGTTTGTTAGTAGGGTGGTCTTCATTTGAATTCTCAAAAAAAAAAACGGGAAGATGCAAATGCTTTCTGTTTGGGGACCTACGCGTTTCAACCAATTATCTGTTTGCTGGTGGTGTTACTGTCTGCAGTGGACCCTGTCTGTGTATATATATTTCTTCCACAGAACACCCTAACAAGCCTTTTTCTTCGGATTACCTCTAAAACGGAGGGCAAGAGCCAGCAGCCTGGCAACTGAGCAAGCTCAGATGGCCTCTCCTGATTGGCTAGCACAGCTACAGACTTATCAGCGCTCCTATTAAAATAGCCCACATCTGTATGTATCGGTACATTTTGCACCTTTTGGAGGCAATGTGTAGTTAACGTTCAAAGATGCCAACTTTATTTTCTGTATTAAATATATATCAGATTTAAAACAAATAAAATCACATCTGCCTCTTGATTTTCATTAAAACTATAATTGATTTGCATCCATCTTCTGTAAAGTGAATTTGTGAGTGTGCAAATGTAACATCATATGCTATTTATTAATTTCTAAAATGTTGTGAATTGTTTCTTCACCATGAGCTTCCATTTAGAGTTGTTGTTTTTTTGGTAAATCAACTTTTACCTAAACTCTCATGTTATTTAGAGGTTTGGCGGACTTCAACTGAAAACCGAAACTGATGCCAAATGGAAAATCTGGTGCAATAACCTAATTTTCCGTTTGTGATCAGGCACATTGGGACAGTTGAACAGCATTTGGCTGCTGTTCTGTTGCCTTTTAGCGTTGTATCTAGAGACAGACTCCTTGGTTTTCTAGGATTGCACCTGTATAGCTGCCACAAATAGCTTTGTTTATAAAATAAACAAAATGCCACTTCGTGGATTTATAAAAACTACTCTTGATTGTTGGGAGTGTGTGTCAGTGTCTGATTTTGAAGCAATTGGAACACAAACACAGATTCCATGTTTCCCTAGTGATTTTAGAACAATCTTACAGCTTCTAAAGTCTAGCTATTTAGTTTAATTTCAATACAAATAGAGTAAGTTTTTTTTTTTTTGTTTTTTTTTTAACCATCACGTCATTGCTCAGTTATTCATCTGTTGAACATTATTTTGAGATTGTGGAGAAAAATGGATTTCAGGCCATAATTTGTCTTGATTATATGTGATTTCCGATAGTTGTAATGAAACTACAAACACATTTTTTTGTGACTCTTGGCATGTTCTTATCATCACTGTGGGTTTTAATTGCTGTGGGTGGTTTTTCTTTAACCCCTTAAGGACCAAACTTCTTGAATAAAAGGGAATCATGACATGTCACACATGTCATGTGTCCTTAAGGGGTTAACATATCGATCTTGATGTAAAAGAGTACAAACTTCTTTTCTAGCGTAGCATCTATTCACAAAGTCTAAATCAGTGGTAGTCAACCCTTTTCTACCTAACGCCCACTAATGCATCTTTCTTGATGGAAAAATTTACCTTACCGCCCACCAGTTTTCGCACAAGTGCAGAATATTTTTTAGAAAGGAGGGTGTTTTAAAAAATAAATAAATGTACGTACATCTATCTTTTTATTTCTACTTTATGCATGTTTATAATGTTTTTAACTTTATGAAGTTTAATGAGAAAGCAAAGTAAATTGAAATTACCTTAACTAGTGATTAATGAGATCCTTGAGGTTGATGCTGCGAGACTAAATATTTGATATCTGGTTTGATTTTCGTAAGGAACAAATGAAGGTCTCCTCTTTCGGTGATATTCAGACGATTTCTCTGTTTGCTCATAATATGATCCCCTCTTCAATTCCCCTCTCCACTTTATTTTCCCTTTTTTTTTCTATTTTTAACCTTCCTTATTGCAATGCCCAGTAGGAAGGCTGAGCTAGGTAGCCCACTTACTATTATTAGCCAACAACAATTCTCTCCTTTTCTCTTTCCTTCTTTCTCCTTTTTACAAGTACTCTGCTCCTTCTTTCTCCTATTCTACAAATACTCTGCTCCTTCTTTCTCCTTTATACAAGTACTCTACTCTTTCTTTCTCCTATTCTACAAATACTCTATTCCTTCTTTCTTCTATTCTACAAGTACTCTGCTCACAGACAAACACATACACACACTCACACATACACTTACAGACACACACACACACTCACAGACACACACATACACTTACAGACACACACACTCACAGACATACACTTTCAGACACACACACACACTCATAGAGAAACACATACATACTCACAGATACACTTAGACACATACACACTCACACATACACTTACAGACACACACACACTTACAGACACTCACAGAGAAACACATACACACAGACAAACATACACATATACTTACAGACACACACACATATACACTCACACATACACTTACAAACACACAGTGGGGCTTCACTTCGGCGGGTGGCAGAGTTCTAATCCGAGGTGGCGAGGGAGCTCTAACCTCTGTGCTCTGCTCCCTCACCTGGAATCCTGAAACGCTGACTAGTGGGCGGTAGGGACCAGGTTGACGACCCATGGTCTAAATGCATACTTATTTGTTATGTATAAATTGTAGCTCTGAGACAACTTTTTTTTTCTTTCTGTTCTGGTAGTTGCCATGGACATTCAGAGACATCGGATGTCATTATTGAACTAAGCATGGCCAATATAGGACAAGGCTCATTGGCTTAGAGTGCTTAGCCGATGCTCTCTGCCAATGAACACAGCCCTGCTTGTCTCGGTCCAGCTAGCCATAATTCCCCACGTGTCAAAGCCACCATTGGGGGTATTTGTAAAATAATATTGAGTTTTCTGTCAGACCTGTGCATTTCCAGATTCAATTTATCGCAAAGGAGGTACATACACAGTAGATCAATGCATGCTGTGCCATTCACAAAACTGAATCAAACTGCGACTAGGCTAACAGCAGCTTCAAATCAACTGCTCTACGCTTACAAAGCCGTTCCATTTATCACATTGTTTATGGGATATATACCAATATATGAGGCTCCTGATTGGATTATCTTCCTGATCAGGGAGAGGTCTGCTAGATGCATTACTTTTTATACATTAACTATATAAGGCATTAAAATGGGAAGGGGTCATTTCTTGCCATCATGTTATTTTTAGTATTGTGTTTTTGTTTTTAGAAACCCTCTTTTTTTTTTTTTTTTTTTATTATAATTAAACTCCACTTCCTCATTTCTGCTATGATTTTGTACTTAACTTTACATTGTTGTCAGACATTTTCAGCAATGGTCGTGTTAACCCTTGTTAGAAGCTACAAATGTAAGGCTATTATATAAACTGAACTGTAGTTTCTTGGCCTGTCAAAATGCAGGAAGTGGTTAACAATGAGCATTAGAATCTTATATGTAAAGCAGTTTTTCCAGCCCTGTCTCTTGCTGTGGCCACGCATGCAGCAGGCTTTACATAAGCTTATGTTGACTTATCTTTGTTGTGAGGTATGCTTTTCCTTGTGAACACAACTAGGTTTACCGAAGGGAATAACATGTAAATGCTTTGACATTTACTAATTACGCACTAGAGAAATGGGTTTTAACCCCTAAGTCATGTTTCATAGTTGGTCCCCATGCCATTTTTCATGGGTCTCTAGTGTTTGAAATAGAAACGGTGGATCAATATCTGATCCCAAGAATGGCTTCCATGGTGCAGTGGAGACCTCGCTGATAGTAGGAAATTCTAATGAGAATTGGTACACACTAAGCACTAAAAAGACTACAGCCATTTGATCAATCAATGTCTTAAAAGTATGAAGGAAACTGGTTTGCTAGTGTGAAGTATACATTCTGCTTTATTGGAATACAAGTGTTGAATAGGCAATCGGTTGCCTGGGGGACCCATAGTTTTAGTCAAATCGTTCAATTGCTTTGATACACAATATGGGGACGGTGTCCATTGCCTATTATTATTACTACAACCACTACAATAAGCTGTTATTGTGCTTATGCTGCCTTTTTAAAACTAAAGTGTGGGAAAACTAGCTAAGGGAGGACCTGCTACATTATATCACATCTAAGTAATGGCTCATTAAATAAACTCTGGTTAAAAAAGCACTAGAACACAATTTTCACTGCACTGTACATAGAATGACTGTGCATAGTTGTTTTTGACATTAGAATCTTGTAGAATAAATAAAGCCACTCATTTTAATATGTAGGGTCTGATCTTACCCGACAAACCCCTGACAAGCAGTGATTTATAGGGTACGTAATTTATCCCCAAGCTGGAATTCCACTCATCACACAGAAAATGAGTGGAGCAGCTCTGTAAGCTGATAGCAGCCATAACATGCCTGCTATCTGTTTATACCAGGTGTGCCAGGCTGTGTCCAGCAATCAGAGCCACTCTCTGCGCATGTACATGGCCACAGGTGTCTATGGGGGAGAAGAGTGAGTGATCTTCCCTCTTGTCTGTGTGACATCCAGACACAACACTAGCAACGGGAAAAGCGAAGCCCGTTTGAGCAGGGTCCTCCTCAACCTATTGTTCCTGTAAAATTTTAGAATTGTATCGATTATTGTTAAATTTACCTCCTTTTATAATATTGTGCACTGTGAAATAAGTTGGCGCTATATAAATGGCAAAAATAATAGGTGAAAACGCCTCCGTTGTTCTGTCTGAGCCAGGAGTATGACCTTTTGCAGTATTAAAAAAAGCCACATAGTCAGAGGTTTTATTTCCACCAGCAACATTTTGGCCTTATTACAATATATTTGTCAAGCTTGACAAACACTTTGTAATAAGGTTGAAACGTTGCGAGATCCACTTTGGTGGTATAAAATGTCCTATCCTTACCATTCTGGTACTGCACCTCTTTTATTTTATCGGCTTTCTGTTGGTGGCTGTTGCAAGGAGGCCTTGTGAACACACACCTAGTTCAACTACTAGAAGTGCTGATTCCTTTAATCAATTTCTTTGTATTTAGACGTTGGCAACCATTGCTTTCATAATACTTTTATAGACCATGTGATCAAATGGGTTTATACAGAAATTGAGCAATAACTTCCTACATTCTTTTCCTGCCTAGATCCAATAGGCTTTGTCTTTGACGTCCAGTCCAATACTGTGATGGCTCAAGGAGGCTCTTATGAAAATATGAAGGAAAAGGTATGTATGTTATACATTGGTGGTAGGGGTAACTTTACCAAACTGTTTTCTTCTCACAAAAAGTCTAGAACTTTAAATGAATCAAAAGATTGAGATGTAAATTTTTTTTTTTTTAACAATTTTTGCTTCTTCTATTGGTAGTTTGTTAAACAGTATTGTTTGCATTTGAGGCCCATGTTTTATATTTTCCTATAAAGTAGAACAAAACTTGTAAAAAGTTATTTTTATGAAAAATTAAATCTTTGGAAGACTGAGAATAACACTGTTAATATTGGATAGTGATGCATAACAAATTTACTTTAGAGAATCACTTCTTCTTTTATGTAAATTAGATTTTTATATATATATATATATATATATATATATATATATATATATATATATATATATATACACACACACACACTAAAATGTTTGTAACGTATGTTTTATTTATCTTTTATTTTAGATTAATGCAGTTCGAGCCATTGTTCCCAACAAAAGCAACAATGAGATTATTCTGGTGCTCCAGCACTTTGATAACTGTGTGGACAGGACGGTTCAAGCTTTCATGGAAGGTATGGAAGAGATCAGATGATTAAAATAGAGGGACCGAACCTGTTGTATTGATGTAATGACATGGTTACTAAGATTAGGAACAGGTTCTGAATGGGATGCAAAGTCTGAGAATTCATATCATATTTCTCCTGCCTAAAGCAGAATCAGAAAATGTTCAGATGCTTTTGCATTCCACAAAATTTAAGTATATGGTCATATCTGTTACTAATACATGGCAATTAAGACACTGACATTCTAACTGGACCTAATTGTGACTAAGTAGCAAAGGCTTTTCATTGTTGTGCACTAGGCAAATTATTTTCCGCCTTGTCAGATAACTGCACTTTAAGTTGCATAATGTGCAGTAGGCTTTTATATAAACCTGATCTGCCTGCACCGACTCTCCCTGCACCCATCACTCTATGGAAGAGTTTACACAAGGAACTGAACCTTACTGTATTTTCTCTCTAGGTAATGCAGTAGAGGTTTTAAAAGAATGGACTGTGCTTGGCAAGAAGAAGGTGAGTACAAAGTTCCATGCATTGTTACATGGTTGGAAATTAAAAAGCATTTATTATATTCTCTCCTGATGCACTTCACATGTTCATATGATATAGAAGTGTGTGTTTTTTGTTTTCTTTTCAAGCACCAAGAATGCTGGGTAGATGCAATATTTTATACATAAATCATTACAAATGTGGTGTCCAAACTTCCCCTCATCCCTTATGGATCGAAACATAGAATATGACGGCAGATAAGAACCATTCGGCCCATCTAGTCTGCCCAATTTTCTAAATACTTTCATTAGTCCCTAGCCTTATCTTATAGTTAGGATAGCCTTATGCCTATCCCACGCATGCTTAAACTCCTTTACTGTGTTAACCTCTACCACTTCAGCTGGAAGGCTATTCCATGCATCCACTGCCCTCTCAGTAAAGTAATACTTCCTGATATTATTTTTAAACCTTTGTCCCTCTAATTTAAGACTTTGTCCTCTTGTTGTGGTAGTTTTTCTTCTTTTAAATATAGTCTCCTCCTTTACGGTGTTGATTCCCTTTATGTATTTAAATGTTTCCATCATATCCCCCCCTGTCCTCCAAGCTATACATATTAAGATCCTTTAACCTTTCCTGGTAAGTTTTATCCCGCAATCCATGAACCAGTTTAGTAGCCCTTCTCTGAACCCTCTCTAAGGTATCAATATCCTTCTGAAGATACGGTCTCCAGCACTGTGTACAATACTTCAAGTGAGGTCTCACCAGTGTTCTGTACAATGGCATGAGCACGTCCCTCTTTCTACTGCTAATACCTTTCCCTATACAACCAAGCATTCTGCTAGCATTTCCTGCTGCTCTATTACATTGTCTTCCTACCTTTAAGTCATCAGAAATACATAAAGTGTACTCTTTATAAAGATACATAAAGAGTATCTTCCATACTCTTTTTCCAGTGTGATCCCCCGTCATATTTTGTTAGTTTGGTTTGTTTTTTTATTTTTGTTTGTTTGTTGGATACAAATGCTATCAATGTGCAGTCTCCTTCCTACTGTGTGAACATATTACAGTAAATACAGAAATTCTGATGACTCTCTTTTCCAGTCAGAAAAACAGTCTCAGGGCTCGTGACACGTCTGTCAGTCCAGTGCTTCTTATAGAGCAGCATTGATTACACACTCCGTGTCTGACATCAACATAATTTGCACGCTGAAGATAGACCTCAAGTAGATTCAGTAAATTAACCTATTTCACTTCGGATCCACTAGTGAATGTCTGACCGTCACTAAAAGGTGTGAAAATGTGTTTCTGTATAGAGGACATACTGGTTTGTAGGATGTCTTCATAGAATTATAACACATTCAGCACTAATAATCAAATCTTCCTGCCTTAAGAGTGAATATGTCATAGACAAGAACAACAATTTTCTTGTTTTTAGTGGTGATAAAAGTCCTGATGGAGTAATAAGCAACTGATCACTTTTCTGGAGCTGTAATTAATAATTCTATCATCGTACAAAATGTAATGAGCAGCGAGATGACAGGTGGGGGGAAGGCTTCTATACATCATTATCTATAAATCATTTTTAACTCCTTTTGTTGTTTTTTTTGTTTTTTTTTACATTTTTGTAACATTTTCAGAATACTGGTTCAACCTTATCACTATTTTATTGCAGTTGTTTTAATTTTGTCTGTTGCTTGGTACATCTTATTTTAATGTATTCTTTGCACATGCATCTTAGAATAAAAAGAAGAAGAGTAAACCTAAACCAGAGGTTGCTGCTCCTAACAGCACGGCTGACTGTGGTAAATCCACACCTGGAGAGGGCGAACAGAGCACTGCACCTTGTGAGAAGAGCGGGCTGAATGGTTACCATATCAACGGTGCCACCAATGACACAGAGTCAGTGGATTCCTTCAGTGAGGGTCTGGATACACTTTCTTTGGATGCCAGAGAGTTAGAAGATTCTGAACCCTCCACCCCTGATGTTTCTGATCCACCAGGTAAAAGGAAAATTGAGACAGACAGGTTACCAAAACGTGACCTTGTGCTGTGTGATGTTTACCATCTTCTATTACAGAGCAGGAATATATGGTATTGATAGAATATTTTTTTTTCCTGCATTTAACATTAGCTGTATAGAATTACCCAGGCAGAATTTCTAATATCTGCACTTATTTTAACTTAAATTTATTTTGTTTGCAGACTACTACTTGGGTTCGGTATTAAGTTAAAAACAAACCAGTTCATCTTTTTATTTTTTGTAATTTAAAAAAAAAAAAATTGTTGTCATAACCTTGCTTGTAAAGGATTATATAAAGTTTGTTTTTGTATAATTTATTTAGATTTTTGAATTTTCAACGAAACTAGAAGATAATGTTAATCGATATGAAACAAAGTACGAACTTCTCTGCCTCAGTTAACAGTTTTTGCAAGTATTTAGGGAAGAGCTTCAAACCGCTTGTGTTGTCACATTGTGCTCTTTATAATAATAGATAGAAAGTCTTGTGGGATCTTTCATGGACCCCTGATTTTGCTCTTTTCTGCGTGCTTAAAGGAACACTCCACTGCCTAAATACAGAATAAACACTATTTAGTAGATATAACCCCCCCCCGCCCACCCCCCCCAAAAAAGGCATTAAATGCATGCAAGTTTTGATTTGGAGTACATCTAAAAACAGCTTGCAAAACGTGCATTTCATTTGTCCTTTGCAAACCTCCCCTTCTAACCCCGCCCAGACTTTCTGTGACCAATCACAGATTTCCCAATGCAGGTCAATGAGAAGTCTTTGCAAGGCAGGTGCTCTGAGCAATTGTTGCCTCTTGAGTTTAGCTTCATTGAGCTAAACAAACCAGGAAGTAACAGAACCTGTTGTCAGTTTGAAAGCCAAGGGAGTGAAACCAGGTTTATTTATAAAAGTGCCAATTTCTATAGAAAATTGCACTTTTTGCAAAATGAAAAAAAGAGGGTACACTTTTCACACACAAAGCTCTTCAGCAAGTTAATGTTTTAGGGGTCAGGGGTGTCCCTTTAAGAGTATACAAGTTTTGAAAGCTCTATAAAGCTGATGATGATGACATTGGAAGGAAACATGGCACAAACATGAGCAAGTTTCCCCCTTCTCTGGGACATAACTATCGAAGCAGATAGGTTACCACAGTAGGATCATTGCAGCAAAAAAAATATAATGAGCCTGCAAATTCTAGAGCCATGTCAAGAAGGCAAAATGGCATATTTCAGAATATTGCAGAAATGTTGGATTTAATCAAATTTTTATTAAAGGAACACTCTAGTCACCTAAATTACTTTAGCTAAATAAAGCAGTTTTAGTGTATAGATCATTCCCCGGCAATTTCACTGCTCAATTCACTGTCATTTAGGAGTTAAATCACTTTGTTTCTGTTTATGCAGCCCTAGCCACACCTCCCCTGGCTATGATTGACAGAGCCTGCATGAAAAAAAACTGGTTTCACTTTCAAACAGATGTAATTTACCTTAAATAATTGTATCTCGATCTCTAAATTGAACTTTAATCACATACAGGAGGCTCTTGCAGGGTCTAGCAAGCTATTAACACAGCAGGGGATAAGAAAATCTTAATTAAACAGAACTTGCAATAAAGAAAGCCTAAATAGGGTTCTCTTTACAGGAAGTGTTTATGGAAGGCTGTGCAAGTCACATACAGGGAGGTGTGACTAGGGTTCATAAACAAAGGGATTTAACTCCTAAATGGCAGAGGATTGAGCAGTGAGGCTGCAGGGGCATGTTCTATACACCAAAACTGCTTCAATAAGCTAAAGTTGTTCAGGTGACTATAGTGTCCCTTTCATCTCGCTAACCTCTTTTGTCTTTATTTTATTTTTCAATTCTGTCATGGACTGGTACTCCTGCTTCAGCTGGCCGATTATCCCATATGAACAAGCTGTTTGTGCTGCAAGCCTAAACAAACACTCATAATCTAGAATCCCCCCCAGCATTTGATTAAGTTGTGCAATTTTAAAGGAACACTATTTTCTTCCCAAGTTTGTTTTTTTGTTCCCCGCAAAAAAACATTTTCAGTTAGGGATGGGATGGGGGGGGGGGCGGGATTAATTAAACTAACGCTTTGCTTACCTGTTATCTAGTGCATAAACAGCCTCTTTCTCCTCAGATGCTTATCATTGAAAACCATTGTGGACTTAATGCACGTGTGTGACAGTTGTATCCAATGCTTCTTGTAGAGCAGCATTGAATGAACTTCAACGTCCCCATGCAATGCATGAGAATGCCGAACGTCAAGAACAGAGTTTAACTTGGTTCTTTGTGCAGAATCACCATGTAGTGGCTGCCAGAGTAACCGCCAATGGAGGGATCAAAACGTCAGGGGCACTGCGCCAAACCACTTACTTGAGATGAATTTCCTCTAAATAATGGCACTATTTCTCAATAGAAATATTAAGAAAATTAAATTTACACATTTTTAAAGGAAAAACAACCATGCTATGGAGATTAGAAATATTTGTTTCAAAATACAAGGGAATGTTTAGAATTGCAATAATTTCTAGTCTGATATTTTCCTGTACTTTACCTTGAAGCACATACTTTAAGGTTAAACAGTTTGTTAGTGGTTTAACGCCTAATGGTATGGAAGTGCCAAGAACCTGCTGACACCATAATTACATGAATAAGTTGCCCAAAGTGTTCCCTTAAGAACATTTTGGCTGTGTGCATAACGTATATATTAATTTTAATTATTTACATGGGTATCTTCATCATTGATATGTTTGGTAAAATGTTAAACTCAGTCTTGCACACATGCTTATACATTTACTTTTATTTTATAGCCACAACGTTCGAGAATGGACGTCCAGACCTTGAGTTGAAACTCACAACCTCTCACCTTCCTCAGAGATCTACACATCCAAAAGCTGTTCCATCTGACCACAGGCATACCAACAAAGCTCGCTCAGGAAGCATGTCTAGCTCCCAGTCATTAAATGACGATGCATCTGCATCCTCAGGCTCTAAAAAACTAGGTAGATTATTTTGCAGTCCTTATTTTCCTTTTACTTATTAAAAATAGGAAAAATGTTTACACAAAGTGAAGGGCAGTAAATAAACATATGTAAGCCATTTTCTTGCAACTGTTGAAAAATCTTGCTGTGTTGCCTTTACTTTTTTATTTTACACTTGTACTACTAGAACTTGAAACTGCCTCCTGAATGTACAGAAAACTTCCTTTTTGCATCAATGTAGAATTAGGATAAATGACATTGTTGAACAGTAGCATTGAATTCTGAAGCCTTGTTATAATATGGAGAAATAAATGTAATTATGACGCTAATTAAACTCCACAAGAATATAAATATTTTGCAACCGTTTACCAAATTTCAAAGTTCAAACTTTTCTGTTTGTGCTAGTTTTCCATTAAAGGACCACTATAGGCACCCAGACCACTTCAGCTTAATGAAGTGGTCTGGGTGCCTGGTCCAGCTAGGTTTAACCCTTGTTTCTATAAACATAGCAGTTTCAGAGAAACTGCTATGTTTACTTTAGGGTTAATCCAGTCTCTAGTGGCTGTCTCATTGACAGCCGCTAGAGGCGCTTCCGCGCTTCTCACTGTGATTTTCACCGTGAGAAGACGCCAGCGTCCATAGGAAAGCATTGTGAATACATGCGCATTCAGGAGAGGAGGAGAGTTCCCCGCCCGGCGCTGAAGAAAGAGGTAAATTTAACCCCTTCCACCCCTAGAGCCCGGCAGGAGGGGGGCCCTGAGGGTGGTGGCACCCTCAGGGCACTATAGTGCCAGGAAAACGAGTACCGTATATACTCTAGTATAAGCAGAGTTTTTCAGGCACATTTTTTGTGCTGAAAAGGCCCCACTCGGCTTATACTAGAGTCAGTGTCTGTATTATGGCAACTTACATTGCCATAATACAGACCAGGACCGCCGGGCTCATTACAAGCCCGGTGGTCCTGTTGGGGGCCGGAGCAAGCTGTTACTTACCTTTACAGCAGCTCCCCCGTTCAGCTCCCAGTGTAAGTCTCGTGAAACCCGTGGCCGTCAGAGCGTTACCACCGGTTACTGTGTCAACGCTCCGCGCAGCACGCAGACCGCAAGAATTAGACTGGGAGCTGAACGGGGGAGCTGACCGGAGCTGCTGTAAAGGTAAGTAACAGCTCGCTCCCACTCCCCCTGCATAGTATACACCACTGGACCACCAGGGATTTACATAGCCCCCCTCCCTGGCCAGGCAACAAGCAGGGAGGGGGCACATAAAAATAACATTAAATATTTAAAACTAAAATAAAACAAATATTACAATAAAATAATAAAAATATTAAAATAATGCCCTCCCCCCACTCAATTTATGTATATAACACACTGCATTCATGCAAACACACACACTGTAAGTAAATATTCAATTTAATGTAATTTTATTGTGATCTAATTTTATTAAGAAATATACCAGTAGCTGCTGCATTTCCCACCCTAGGCTTATACTCGAGTCAATAAGTTTTCCTAGTTTTTTGTGGTAAAATTAGGTGCCTTGGCTTATGTTCGGGTCGACTTATATTCGAATATATACGGTATGTTTTCCTGGCACTATAGTGGTCCTTTAATGTTACATAGCTGAAAAGAGACTTGCGTCCATCAAGTTCAGCTTTCCTCACATGTAATATTTGTCTCCTGTGAGTACAAGCAAATACAAATATGTGTTTTAGTGCGTGGGAGATGTTCTTCACAATGGCAAAACATTTTAAAGGCCACACTGGCGTAGAGTACAATGCATTTTATAATTTGCTATAAATGTCACTAAAGGTTTTCTGTGTAGTCTTGGCTTTCTGTAATCAGTATATTATTTGGAATGTTACTGCTCCGGTGACTAAACCTGCATTTTACAGGTGCCAACATTGAGAAGTCAGTGAAGGACCTGCAGCGCTGCTCTGTCTCCCTTGCACGTTACCGCATGGTGGTGAAGGAAGAAATGGATGCCTCGATCAAGAAGATGAAGCAGACTTTCTCAGAACTGCAAAGCTGGTGAGAGGACCATAGGGACTATTTCTTGTAATTATGCGTTAAGCCCGTTCAGCTTGCTTTGGCAACCAGAATGTTAGAGTATTGCTAATAGAGCTGATTCAAGAACCAAGTTAATTTAATCAATCGAAGTCATCAATAATTTGCTGGTTTCTTTTGTCACTTTCTTGGGTCTTCTTTTGCAAAGACCCCTGGTTTGGACTTTGACACTTGCAGTGAGGTGGCTGCTGGTGCAGGGAATGGTGAGTTTTACTTACCTGAACTAGTTCTTGACACTTATGTGTGGTCCTCTTCCACCCTTTACGCTGGAGCTGCGGGATCCTCCATAGACAGCCGCTTTGCCCTCAGCCGTCACTAGTGACGGTTGAAGGCTTGACTGTAGAACAGTGATGGCGAACCTTTTTGAGCCCGAGTGCCCAAACCGTAATGCATGCCAATTTTTTTACCCTCAAAGTGCCAAAACTGCAATTAAACCTGATTACGAAGGTTTAAGTTTAGAAAAAACAACTCATACAGTTGTCCGAACTAATTAACATCTCTGTGTGTGTATTAAGCAGTTTGTGTGTGTGCTCGGCAGTCTGTCTGTATGTGTATTTAGCCGTCTG